CTTTCCAAAAGATTAGCTTCTCTTCTAAACACTGGAGGAGCAATGTTTTGTACAACTTTAGAGAGAGCTCAGGAGTGAGTACACGTAACTGTCTCTATGTAAAGTGTATGATTTCATATGCCCTTGCTAAATCACCTGTGTAATTCACGGCTGTGTCCACTTTTTTCGTTAGAACTAGATCTAAGTCGCACTCCGACGTTGTGTGGGACAATTTTTCGTTGCACAGGGTGTAACTTATATTCTTCAGCCTACACGTGTCCCTAGTAGTCACGTTCCAACTATTTAACCATTGGTCACAGGGGCAAAAATGTGTTTGTGCTTTGTCGTCGTCCCAATTGTAATTTCTCCAGGCTTTTACATTTACCTTTTTCCGTTTGAATTCCTCATTATTTTGTGTATCTTCTAACATGTCCTCGGGTTCTAAACATGATTTGCAAAACAGGCTATTACTCATCCACCTGAGCTACAGATTTCTTTCATTTCAAGAACTAAAGATTCTTGACAAGCACTGTCAACATGTGGTTAAGTTTTCTGAGCTGGATTATTTAATTGCTAAGCCCCCATTCTCCTTCTAGACGTCTTCATTGCAAGCTATAATTTCAAGTGAACTCGTTTGAATTCTCCACAAATGATTGGTTGTTAATTTACATCTTTATTGATCATTTTTATTGACTTCAAATTTGACTTTTCTCGTCGTGTGGTTTATTCTTTATTAGTAGATAACTTTGGTCGACAATAGTGGATCTGTTAATTGTTGGCTTATCTGAGTACCAGGCTTCTGTGAATTCTGTCTGTTATCGACACAGAACTTTGCACCGATGTGCAACAGTTCAAGTCGCCAAACTCACTCCATGTAGCACACAAACCAAGAGAAGAAATAAGAAGAAATGCATATTAGAGGCAGTAAACAGAGGTGTGAGACAAAAGAGTAGTAATCATGAAGAACAATATAGTTTCATTGGAAGTCATAAGTTACAAGGAGTGGATGCATCTGCACAAGCCATTGAGAACGCTTTTGAGCCATATCACCAACTGTCTCCAACAGTTGGTTTTTACCATCCCGAGGACCCCAACCTGGAAGTCTACATCTTCCTGCGTGGCTTAAACTAACTGTTGTTGATTTCATTGACTGTTGAAACCATGTTTTGGTTTGACCGCTGCTAGCTCTTTTCTAGCCTGACCCTATATCAGCTAACATTGCTTGTCGGTCGAGGAAGGCGATAACTAGGCATACGTAACTAGGCATATGTCCTAACCATCTCAGTCGATGTAATTTCACAGTCTCGTCGATTGATTTCCCCTCCCACCTACCTAGCACTCGACGCCTAACGTCAATATTGCTCACCTTATTATACCACCTCACGCGGGAGATAGAACGCAGACACCTATGATCAAAGACAGCTAGCTAATCTTTTCATGTCTTACACTCTCAATGGCCAGGTCTCACAGCCATAAAGGAGGACGGAGCGGACTGATGAGCAGTACAGCCGCCCTTTGGTCGATAGTCGGATGTCACGTCTACGCCAGAGACGGCACTTATAATGTTTCTGCTGCCTAGAATGTTCACAATTTCCCAGTCAAACTGATGTCCATGGTTGTTTATCTACATCTATATGAAAGAGTACATGTCGTGTCTTTTAATAAGTAGTTTATGTTCTTGAATGCAGATCAGTTATATCACGCATGGCGAATTCAAATGAGTTTACTTCATATTGAATCTTGCGCTGAAGATATTATCTTGAAAGACAATGAAAGGTTCTCAATTAAATCATTCAGCTCATAGAACTCAAATACACATCGAAATCCCTGGGTTTGTGTAAAGCTCTTTGATAGAAACAAGACAAGTGGTTTAACGAAGAGGCTCTTTTCGACGAATTCAATTTCTGACCATCAAACTATACAGTCGCATTTATATACAATCTCCTTTTCATGAAGGAGGGTAGTAATAAAAGTGATGAGTTGTCACAAACGTAGTTGTTTATATTAGTCACTGAATGCATAAAAGGAGTTGAATAGGTGTATTAGAGTTACGTAATAAGATGAATGTTTCAATAAATGAATAGTAATCAGGTTGTGCACATAGAAACGAAAGAAAATATGAAATTATGTAAGAATTCCAAAGAAGTACAAGAGTTATAAGAAAACAAACTGGTTGGCTCTCACGAGGTGTGCAACATAGATGGCACTGAAATAGAAACCGAATCGGAAATTAAATACCTAGGCATCATTCTATCTTCTGATCCTTCCTGGTCGTCTCATATCTTGAAGATTTCTAAGAAAATATTCCGTCTTACCTTCTACATCAAGAAGTTAAGACATTCTACTATAACCCCCCAACCCTTACTCCTACAATTCGTTAACTCTCGCATTCTGCCTATTATTCTCTATTGTTCCCCCTTAGTTTTTCCCGGGCTACTGAAGAAAGACTATTACATATCACGCAGGATGTTAAAGGTTGCCAGCAGGATAAGCAACGTGCGACTTAACCAGCTTGTTGTTAATATTCTGGTTGACAGGCACATGGACTCATGTGAAAAATGAGCCGAATCCATTTTTTTTCCAACTCACACCACCCTCTTCATTCACAACTCTCCCCTTGCATCTCATCAGGCGAAACCAGAAGCCTATATAAAAAACTATATGCTCGAACTAGCAAGTACAAAAATTCAACCATACCCTACTTAGCTCGTGTTCTGTGCGATAAAGAAAACATTAGGCGTGATACCTATAACTTATTAGATAGTTAGTAGAAGAACTGGATCTCGTCTTTCCAAGTCATATCATTTATAGACACAACGTTTTCTCTTCATTTTCTCTCTCTCTTTTTTTCCGTTATTTGCTGCTTTGTTTCTTTCTTCCGCTTACGTCAGTAAATATGCTAGCATCTACTTTTCTAACACCTTCAAACACGGTTCAGCTTTGACTTCCCTACCGACATGCCAATAGGTTGTCATAATGAACTGAGATTTCCTTAATCTATATAGAATTCTGTTTATTGATAATGTACTAACTGGATGCAATACTGTAGTAAAAATGCTGAGAATTCCATTCAGTATCACAAGTACTGTTTTGGAATAAAGCAAACTATTATTATTAAAAGTCAAGACAATAGAAATCAATAAGTTTGTTACTATACTAGTGGGAGTGGTTGAATAATCTTCTTTTGAATGTATCACTCCAGTTTTTCTGTGTGAATGGCTAAAGCTTCAAAAATGCAAGGAAAACGAAGGTGCGTTGACTTTGGCAGGTTATTCTTTACTGTGTACATTGCTTTGTAGGAGGCCTTTGTTGAAATGGAATGACCAGTTTTGTTGACAAGATGTTCGATTATCGCACTCCTTATGCAACCATTACCACCTTTCTGCAACTATGCGGTGGGAAAGTGTTCTTCAACCCTTCTGGACAGGATACGCATTGAACGCCAAATGTACCTGGTTCCAAAGTAACAGGTAAACTGATATATGCACATAGAGATAGTCAGAAGGCGAGATCTTGTCCTTAAGACTATTGTAGGCTACTGGACGACTGGAGAACGCCACTCTTGGCGTTTCTGCGGAAAATGTTCTCAAAGATGCTGAAATTCTCCTTCTAAAGACATCACTGAGTAGATCACCCTTGAAATCAAGGTTTATGTAAAGTTTCTTTTTTTGACACGGATGACGTCTTTTGTCTTTGAATTTTCGATTTGATGTTCTTGTCAATAAATCATAGTGGACATCTCGTGTTGAATGAAGATTTCTTTCAAAATGCGTAATTCCTCTTCCAGAACATCAAGGCTGTAGATGCGTCTGACGCAAGTAGCAAGATAAGTATATACATACATATAATTAGGTTTCATTTACGACTACCTACTACTGCTACTATCGCCAATGCTTTTCCTGATTGCAGTAGACTGGATAATGCGACAAACAGTGGGCAATGAGGAAACAGGAAAAAATGGACTTACACAAAATTCTCGGAGGATCTGGACTTCGCCGATGATATATGTCTGATTTCCCACAAACTGGAAGATATGCAAGCGAAAAGCAACAAGTTGGCAGAAGAAGCATCAAAGAGAGGACTTCAGGTGAACATAGAGAAGACAGAGGTAGGTGATGAAGATTCCTGGGCAACACCACCACCAACAACAACAACAGAAAACAATCAGCATAAATGGAAGGAACCTGAAAGAAACAACCTCCTTTACCTACCTGGGAAGCATCGTTTCAACTACAGGCGGACAGAACTGACGAGGATATCAAAGCAAGAATCAGAAAAGTAAGACAAGCTTTCAGTACTCTCGAGTCTGTGTGGAGGTCAACAGCACTATTCAGCATCAAAAATAAGATCCGAATTTTCAACTCCAATGTGAAGTCAGTACTACTTGCTATACGGATCAGAGACTTGCACTGCGCGTCATAAAGAGCATCTCAAGCAAACTACAAACCTTAATTAACAGTTGTCTTCGCTCAATACTCAAGATCAGATGGCCGGCCAGAAAAGATCAGAAACAAGGATCTCTGGGAGCGAACCAACACAGCAGGAACCGATTGTGAAACAAATAGGCAGGAAGAAATGGAGATGGATTGGACATACTCTGAGGAAACCATCAAGTGAGTGACATCACTAGACAAGCCATCGCTCGAGTGGAACCCGCCGAAAGGGAAGCGGTGAGTTGGTCGTCAGTGCAAGGGTGACTTGGAGGAGGTCATGTGAAGAGGAGATAAAGCATGTGGACAGATTTGGAGCCAGGTGAAGACTCTAGCAGAGAACCGAACGCAATGGAGACGCACGGCTGAAGCCCTATGTTCCTCTAGGAATTAAAGGATACAATAATAATAATAATAATAACAAGTACGACTAATTGATACCCAGCTGTAGAAACTTGAGTCAGTCAGTCGTTGTATGTTGGTTTCCTCTGGATGGACCTTCTTATAGTTCCTTCGACTCTTCTTCTTAGTCTAACATCTGGAGAGGAAATTCTAGATGACAGTTGTTCAATATTTCTGTAACAATTGATTATGGTCTAACCTCTTATAGCTCTCGTGCTTCTTTGGAACTCTTACATAGTTCCATATTTTCCTTCGTTTCTATGTGCACATCCTGATTACAACCCATTCATTGCACCACTCATCTTATTACGTAACTCTACTGCACTTATTCAACTACGTTTGCGACAAATCATCACTTTTATTACTACCCTCCTTAATGAAAAAGGAGATTGGAAATAAATGCGAGTGTACAGCTTGATGACGATAATGAATTCGCTGAAAAGAACCTCTTCGCTGAACTTTACCGGTTTTGTTTTTTATTGATGTTCAGATGGGAATTTTTTCATGGATCAATAAAAATCCTTGTGCAACCTTTTTTATCAGTTATTTTGATCAATATAATTTCTGTGTTTTTCCATTTTTTCCATAGGAATTTTTGCATGCATGTCCTGTATGCTCTGGCGTAGCATTCTATCGACCTAGTGAATGGCCAAACCGTTTACACTGTCAAGCTGTAGATTGTGGTGTCTCTGTCTGCTTTGATTGTCGAAGAGAGCATTCACCTAGTGAAAAGTGTTCAGTAAAAGCCAACTCACCAATTAGAAGGTATGTTCCTTGAATGTATTGGTTTCTCATTTAAGATTGATTATTGCCGTCTTAGATTTGTTACCATCAGAGAATAATCTTGTTGACTTAGAATATGCAAATGATATAGTCCTTCAAGAAGATGAAGACGCTGACAGAAGACTCTGTCTTCTGTGAATACCTTGAGGGGAGCAGCAGTCTTTGAATGTTTGCAATGCGATTCGTTCCTGTTAAATATAAGATTATGCTACCGGACTGGATTACATATCGACTCCTAGCTTAATGATAAGCACTAGTGATGTGGTACAGCGTGTTGACCACTTCACTTATTTGGGAAGTACCATCAGCCCCAACGGGTTGGTCTCTGACGAAATCTCAGTACGGATACAGAGCGCTAGTTTCGCATATGCCAGTTTACTCCGTCTCTGGCCTAGATGTGATATCCGGCTGCCTATTGACCAAAGGGCGTGTGTACTGCTCATCAGTCCGCCCCGTCCTCCTTCATGGCTGTGAGACCTGGCCATTGAAAGTGGAAGACATGAAAAGATTATCTGTCTTCGATCATAGGTGCCTGCGTTCTATCTCCCGTGTGAAGTGGTATAATAAGGTGAGTAATATTGAGGTTAGGCATCAGTCGAGTGCTAGGTAGGTGGAAGGGGAAATCAATCGACGAGACTGTGAAATTACATCGACTGAGATGGTTGGGACATGTGTTACGTATGCCTGGTCATCGCCTTCCTCGACGGGCAATGTTAGCTGACATATGGTCAGACTGGAAAAGAGCTAGCGGTGGTCAAACCAAAACATGTCACCAGTCAATGAAATCTACAACAGTTAGTCTAAGACACGTAGGAAGATGTAGAGTTCCTGGTTGGGGTCCTCGGGACGGTAAAAACCAATGGTTGGAAACAATTAGTGACATGGCTCAAAATCGTTCTCAATGGCTGGCGCAGGTGCATCCACTCCTTGTGACTAATGATTTCCAATGAAACTGTTTTGTTCTTCGTTATTACTATTCTTTTGTCTCACACTTCTGTTTACTATCTGTATTATGCATTTCTTCTACTTTCCTCTCTTGTTTTGGAGTGAGGCGGGCGACTTGAACTGCTGCACATCAGTGCAGAGTTCTACGTCGAAAACAAACAGATGCCTGTGACTAATATTTCACCATGTAAATTTGTAAATCCTGATGAGAAAATTGATGATAGAGTTATTGGCAAGATTTCTTAAGTAATCTGATTTGGAATTTAACGTGCATAAAATGTTTTATTTTTTTTAACAAAACATGTAATACAGAATCTAAGGAAGTGTCTAAGAGGTGCTTACAGAGGTTTCTGTGTGTATGCAAGAAAGACGTATTATTATATGCTTCTTGCTAAGCATAAAAATGTCAATTGTTTTAAATACATGCACTCGTCTGACATGACTAACTGGCTGGTTTCAACATAGAACTTTGCACAGATGTGCAATAGCTCCAGTTGCCACGCTCCAAATAGCACACAAAGGTAGACAACAAGATGAGTGAAGAGAATCAATAGAGTTTTGACAAGTATAAGAGTGAAACATAATGAGTAATGGTAGAAAGGAATATGAAAGATTGCAGAGACTGAATACATCTGCGTAAGCCATTGACAACGATTTTCAGCCATGTCACCTATTGTCTCCAGCCATTGATTGATTCTTAGAGTCCCGAGGACGGGCCCCAACCCGGAAGTCTGCATCTCCCTACCTGACTCAGTTTAACTGTCAAGGATTTCATGGATGGATGAGGCCATATTTCCGTTTGGCCACCGATTACTCTTTTCCAACCTGCACCTATATCAGCTAGTAATGCCCGTCCGTCGGGGGAGGCGATGGTTAGGCATGCGCAGAACGTGCGTGACCTAGCCATCTCAATCTATGTAACTTTATAGCCTCGTCGATTGATTTTTCCTCTTTGCCCAACACTACGCCTAACGTCAACATTACTTGCCTCATTATACCTCCTGACGTGAGAAAGAGATCTTATACATCTATGATCAAAAACAGTCAACCTTTTCATGTCTTCAACTTGTATTGGCCATGTTTCAGAGCCATAGGGAAGGACGGAGCGAACTGCTGAGCAATACACACGTCCCTTGATTGATAGCCAGATGTCACGCCTACGCCAGAAATGGTGTAAGTTAGCGAAAGCAGCTCGAGCCTTTTGGATCCCGACCGAAAGCTGCTACCTTGACTTTGGTGGTCGGGCTTGAACACCGCAATGACCCAACAAGCTATACTGGCTAAGACTTATGTCGCTTGAGATCTTCTAGAGTCTTCTTATCGGGCAGTTCAACGTATTCCTGTCGTCTCGTTCCCCTCGGTTTGAGGAATAATCGCCTTCACCACAATTAGGAATTGTGATAACTGGTTTCTTCTAGTTTAGGTCTGTTGAGGAGTCTGTCACTGTCGAACACGTGAGTTTGTAAATGTGAACTACTGAAGAAAAAAACCAGACGTCTACTGGTGTTTTGAATGGTGTTGTTTTGTGACAAAATCTGTTCGGAGATAAGTTAATTCCCGACATATGATCAGGGTTAGATTCCCCGCCGATGTACTGTTAAACCTCAATTAACCGGTGGTAAAAAGGAGGAGAGGTTGACCGTAAAGCTATCAACCCCACACTGCCCCGTAAAAATAAGACGACCGGCACTGGAACTCCATATCTGAAGATTTGAAGCTTTGTGTTCCCGTCGGAACGCAAGAAATGAAAAACGTTTATGTTTATTTTAAGTTTTTGGGAGGTCACGATGTGTAGTGCGACCATCATGCAATGTCTTTGGTGAATGGTCTTCTTCACATCCAACTTTGGTGGACGACTCCGCTGGTAAAGATCTCCCACTAAGACTTCAGGTAACCTCCTCCTGTGGTCAGTCAGTCTCTAATGAGCACTAGATTAATTAGTCTGTGGAGGTCTTAGGATTTTGTCTCCGGGGCTAGATGGTGTATGAGCTCACCTGTAGTAACCAGAAGGTTCTGGTTCCAATCAAATGCATGCAAACTAACATTTAAGAGTCGAGATTGTAAATGAGAATGTTGATTTAAAAAATCATGATAAATAACTTTTACAGATTCGATCACGAGTAGTATAACATCAGTTAGAGAGAGAACCATTGAAACCCTCCAGTGAATACTGTACACAGTTGTTTCGTCAGCCGTGTTTGGGACTCTTCATCAGTACCCTCTCCGCACTGGGTTTCCAACCCAGGATCTTCCGGTTACAAGGCATTGAGTTGGGTCGGTGTTGCTGAATGAATGGTCTAGGAGCTTGACTTGTAACCGGAGGGTCCTGGGTTCGACTGCTAGAGGTGGGTGCGTACTGTTGACGAAACAGCCGCGTACTTTACTCCCTGGCAAATTTCCAATGGTTCAATAACTGATGCAAATACGATAAACTAGACGTAAGTTCAAGGGTGAAAAATAATAATGATGAGATAATAACGATAGTGTGGTGTAAACTTAGAAGCTAAACAAAGCCGATGGACATACTTCTCAGTAAATGGCTGGCTGGATTCAACATAGAACTTGGTACCGAAGTGCAGCAGTTCGATTTGCCACGTTCCAAATAGCACAGTAAATAGCCATCCAAATAGCTCAGTAAATAAACAAAGTCTTCTCACACTGATTCATGCCACTTCAGCTACTTATTGAAAGCGTAGTTGAGAGCTCCTCTAGGTACACTACCTGAGAAAGTAGATCATCCAGAACACCTACTCCGATTTTATTGAATGTCCAATATCTACCAAGATCGTACCAATAAACACATTATCCTACGCCTTTGGTGGCTACTAATTTAATCAACAATAGTGATTTCAAACTAAATCAAGATTGCAAAAGAGGAGGTTTGAATGTTAATGTTTTATTTCATGGATTCTCTTCAACTGCCTTCATCCTAAACAGATTGAAATTATAAGTTTCAAAATGGTATTTGAACCCGCTTTTTCCCACAGTGACTTCGAATTATAGACAGAAAGTATAAGCAACATAATCCCCAAAAATTCAGTGTCAAAAGAGTAACGGGCTTCAAAGCATATTCCTAAATGGCTCCAGAGGCAAACACAACCCCAAGAACCATTGATGAGAACAGGAGACCTACCTCTTCTATTGAGAAACATAATTGACGTTAATAGATCTTTTAAACCTATCTATAAAACTTGTTTGGGGCGTATCTTAAAGTTTGTGGAAGCCCTAGCTGGCAATTAGAACGTTTAAACCACCTCTATGCGTTCATCAAAAACAATTCGTCATCACACTAAACCACCTTCCTTGGTAAGCTTTGTTTTGATACCAGTCAGGGTAGATGTACTATTACCTCGCTTACTTGGTTTGGTGATCTTCATTGTTATTTTGACGTTGAATATATCCTTTTAACTTGACCTAAGTAGTCTATTTTCTCACCTCTTAACTCTTTATTAATTTCATATATACATATTTTACGAGTTGATCACGGACTGATATCAGTTAGAGAACCATTGAAAACCAGGGAGTACTGGACAGCTGCTGTTTCATCCTAGTTTGGGAATCATCGGCAGTACGCACCCACTGGGATTCGAACCCAGGACCTTCGGGTTACAAGGCAAGCTCGTATACCATTCAGCCACTGGGACCCGATTCAATGGCTCATGAATTCTAACTTCAACCAATTCGTGATTTTAGCGCGACCCCAACTATTGTCGTTGGTGGAAATCCATCCACACGTGACTTCTAATTGGACCTCACTGGTTACGACTTCTCACTAGAACTGCAAGAAGCTCCAACCTGTAGCAAGTCACTAGCGAGCATCAGAATATCAGTCCGTGATCAACTCGTAAAACATAACTAATCCTTACAAACCAAACTATAGAAAATTATTCTGATGCTCGCTAGTGACTTGCTACAGGTTGGAGCTTCCTGCAGTTCTAGTGAGAAGTCGTAACCAGTGAGGTCCAATTAGAAGTCACGTGTGGATGGATTTCCACCAACGACAATAGTTGGGGTCGCGCTAAAATCACGAATTGGTTGAAGTTAGAATTCATGAGCCATTGAATCGGGTCCCAGTGGCTGAATGGTATACGAGCTTGCCTTGTAACCCGAAGGTCCTGGGTTCGAATCCCAGTGGGTGCGTGCTGCCGATGATTCCCAAACTAGGATGAAACAGCAGCTGTCCAGTACTCCCTGGTTTTCAATGGTTCTCTAACTGATATCAGTCCGTGATCAACTCGTAAAACATAACTAATCCTTACAAACCAAACTATAGAAAATATATACATATGCCTAGGACAAGTCCGTGTGTGTGTGATCAGATTGTTTGAAATGTGCTGAGCAAATACATTACACGTCTTATTGCTTTATCAGAACTCATAAAGGGAACTAAATGTTTTAAAAGAGTAACTATTTATGGAATAATTAGACAACAGCAAGGGGGTTGAGTTCAGATTTTGTATGGAAACAAGGGTTGACAATAGACAAAATACAAGGTCGAAGAACATTAGAGTGAATTCATACACATATTATCATGGAGAGAGAGTTCAGGAGGGTGAGACTGAAAAGTAAAGAAAAATTATGACAAAACAATAAAGTAGATTTGAAAACTTAACAGTAGTGAGTTCAACTCACTGAGTAACAATCAAAATTAAGTAGAAGGTTACGCAACAAGACAAAACACACGAACAAAATAAGTAGGGTTACCAGGATAGTGAAAAATCAGTCACACTATCTTTCTGTATACTAACAGAGGCTGGATGGACGTTTTCAAAATAGCAACAAAATAAACAGAAATCCCCAAGAAACCCCTAAATTGGATATACTTAAGAGGTTGATAGTTTTAATACTGACAAATACAAATAATGTGATATAGTTCAGCGGACGAATCAACGCCAAATAAACATCTACACAATAGTCTGTATATAGGTGCGAAAAATGACATAGGTCATGACCTGATCACACCTTACACATAAAAGCACAGATTATTGTTTACATGAAAAATCACATACTATGAATTTGATCTAAACAAAACGAAGCAAAAGTTCAATAGGACATATCTGTCAGGATGGTTAAAGTTCAAGGTAGTAGGAAAAATCAATATAGGAGACAGTAGCTGTGATAGAGGTAAAGATATCGTCAGGCGGTTAAGAACAATAAGCGACTATCATCTTCCTACTCTCCATAAATCCGATGGTAAACGATAGATCACTGTCTTCAGAAAGCTTACACAATCAAAGCTATAGAGATCCATAAGAAGAAATTTGATCTATATGGGCAAAAGAAAAGCACACTCGTCTTCATTGTCACCAGGCCTATACTATAGGGTCATCAAGGATATAATCATCTCTTATTTTCATGTCTGATAATGGCCTTCTTATTCCTTTTCACCTACTTTACTTTATTCCATAATTATCCTTGTTATGTGTGTGTCAACCTTTGTGATTTACACTAAACAGCTTATCATTATCTCTCTCGTATTTGATTACAGTTCAGAATTTTTAACCTCTTTATTTTATCACTACACTTGAGATATCTGTCATTCCTTGCTTGAAATTACTTACATTCAGTGTTCCCCATTTGTTTGCATGGATTTTGTGGCAATAATATTTCTCTCACACTATTGAATATAACTCACCCACTGACATCAATAAAACCTTTATTATGTTAACTATAAATACCAGTTAGAGAACCAACTGTTTCATCGGCAGTACACACCCACCGCAAGGGGTTAGAACCCAGGACCTTTCAGTCAAAGGCAAACTAGTATAAAATTCAACCACTGGGACTGGCTTTAATGGTTCTCCAACCGATATCAATCCATAGTGTACCCTGAAACAAAAATAATCTCTACAAACTAATTGTTGATGATTAATCTGATACTCACTAGTGACTACTGGCTACAAGACGATGTTGACTGGCGTTCCAGTGAGGATGGATTTTCCGCCGATGACATTGGTTGGTGCCAGTCGCGCTAAGTCACAAATTGGTAGATGGTAGAATTCATGCACTGGCCATTGAATCGGTTGCGTCCCAGTCGTTGAATGGTATACGAGCCAGATTGACTTGTGAGGAGAAGTTCCTGGGTTCAAACCTCTTGTGGTGGGTGCGTACTGCTGATGATTCCGAAATTAGGATGAAACAGTACTACCGGTTGGTATTCAATGTTTCTCCATCACATATCAATCCGTGATCAAACTAGTGAAAGCAAATCTAATCCTTACAAACCAAATTCTTGAAAATTAATCTGATGCTCACTAGTGACTACGGGCTACAGCACAGTGTTTCCTTGAGTTATAGTGAGAAGTCGTGACCGGTGAGGTCCATCTAGTCAGCATAATCCACAAAAATGATGTAATTGACGAATTACTCAGTGTTAAAAAGGGTCTAACTATTCATAGAATAATTAGACCACAGTAAGGGGGTAGAGTTCAGATTTCGTATGGAGACAAGGGTTGACAAGAGACAAAACACAAGATCGAACAACATCAGAGTGAATTTATACACATATTATCATGGGGAGAGATTTCAAGAGGGTGAAAAAGAAATATTTAAGTAAAATTATGACATAGACAAAACAATGAAGTAGATTTGAAAACTTAGCAGTGAGTTCAACTCAGTGAGTGACGATCGAAATTAAGTAGAAGGTTACGCAATGAGACAAAACACATGAACAAAACAATTAAGGTTACCAAGGTAGTGAGAGATTAGTCATTCTATCTTTCTGTATACAAACAGAGGTTAGGTCAAATTCTTTTGATAGCAAATAGCTTATACGAACCGATGTAACCATGCTTTTCTTTGTATATCGATTTTTTTGAAAGCTTAACTAATTCACTGTTTGTCCCATGTCAATTAGGTGTGTGTCTGGCAATTGCACTTGAGAACATTCTGTTGCCTTTCATACGAAGACTTTTTGCGATATGCTCAGAAAATCTAATAGACACTCTCCTCTCAGTCCTTCTTATGTTGTACTTACTGCCGCAAGTGCAAGCAAATTGATAACTGCATTTGGGGTTGACATACAGAGCAGCATACTTCCCTACTTGTGACTGAGTTAACGAATATACCGTGTTGTCACGTGGAATGTGATTCTGGCGACGGGGAATGTTCTTTTTTGGGTGTTTTGTATTTACAGGATTTCATCATGAGCTGACATGAGTTGGAGGACCGTTGGAAAACTTGCTAGGGGAGTACTTTGCACAGCTGTTCCTTCAGCCTAGCTTGGGACTCTTCATCAGCAGTACTCCCCTTCCTGCCGCACTGGGTTTCCAACCCCCAGGACCTTCGGGTTACAAGGCGAGATTGTAGACCATTCATTTGGCCGCTGGGACCCGATTCTATCTCCAATGAATTGATTATTCCAATGGTTCTCTAACCAGTGTCAGTTCATAGTGAAGTCCTGTGTAACCAATCAAATCCCTACTAACCAACACTTGAATATCGATGAGATGCTCACTAGCGACTTGCCCTATTCAGGTGGGTAGTTACCTGGGGTTCTAGTGAGAAGTCGTGACCAGTAGGGTGCAGCAGGTTAAGTGTGAGGACAAACACTCGCCGAAGACATTGGCTAGCGGTTGCGCTATATTGTGAATTGGCAGAAGTTAGAATTCATGGGTCATTTGATAGGGTTCCAGTGACTGTGCGTCGGTGGCACAGTGGTTAGGACTCTCGCCGACCACGCACATGGTTCGAGGTTTGATCCCCTGTCGACGTACACCCGATATCTATGGTCGGCCTGCAAAATTTGGGCTACCCATATCGCATGCTGAAAATTCCATACTTGTACTGAAAATACGGTATGGCATCAAGCTGTAACCAAAATAATAAAAAAATTAATGGTCTACGAGATTGCTTTGTAATCAGAAGGTCCTGGTTTCGAAAGCTGGCGGTGGGTGCTTACTGATGAAGAGTCCCAAACTAGGACGAAACAGTACAGTCCAGTACTCCCAGCTGGTTTTTCAATGGTTCTCTCATGATGAAATCCTGTAACCAATTTATTATTATGTATTTATTTTTGTTTTTGTCTGCATTCGTTTAGACTTTCTCCAATTCATCCTCGTTCATCGCCTGTAAGAAGTCCACGAACACGTTGGCGATTAATGAAGGCTTCACTTCGTCGTCTTTAAGTTTCTACCGTTATTACTATTACCATGACTGGTATAGTATCTTAATTATAATTTACCATTGTTCTTTCATATGTACATATTCTTACCCCTGACCTCACCAACCCAACCCGCCCCCAGTTTATTAAAATCAATATTTTACGTATCATTTGTTATTAATAATCGTAATAATATACTTTTGTTTTACTTGCTGTTGTACAAAAACGCATTCTTGTTGATTAGAGACAATTCTGTCTGTACACGATGCTGTTTCTCTTTCGAAGAAGAAAGAGACACCTAATGCTTTTGTTGTTAGTTGCTTTTCTGTAATTTTTAAAATTTTTGAATATACTACAAAAATTTTTTGCATATTCGTCTCAGTTGTTGATCACGGATTGATATCAGTGTTAGAGAGAGCCATTGAAAATAATAATGATTTACTTTATTCCAAGTGTGCGTCGGTGGCTTAGCGGTTACGACGCTCGCCTACGATGCATATTGTCCGGGGTCCGATCCCCGGCCGACGCACTCCCTTACCTCGCTAAGCCAGAAATAATGCTGGTGAAGAGGCAAGGTTGGGCATGAGGCTAGCAACCCCATTCTGTAAAATAAAAACTGCTACAGAAACTTCAAGTCACTAGCTTGAAGCCCTATGTTCCACTGGGGAACGTGAAGGAAAAAAAACTTTATTCCAAAAACAGTACTTGTGATACAGAATGGAATTTTCAACATTAATCACAATATCTTACATCTAATTTCCTCAAATTATAAATAAAATTAATCACACAGAAAATTTTTCTACATTTACAATAGGGGGAATATCAAAAACATGCAGCATATAAAATGTAAATAGTAATAATAATGATAGCAGCTAAGGTAATGACCATAATAATACAAGTGGAAACTGCTGTGGGCTTGTTTCACACAGTATTGTCGATGCGGTATACAAATCCTTGCATGATTAAAAATATTGAATATAATGTTCTCTTTACATGATATGGTGAGGGGGAAAACAAAGATTACAGCAGTCATAGAGATAAGTTGCTGTTTGCAATTGTGAAAGTAAAACAAAGAAGCAACAGGACCATAAATATAATAGAAATAATAAAAGTAAAACTTGAAGGTATATAAAGATGGATGGATAGAGGAAATTGTTTATTTACTAGATGAAAAAAGGTACTACTAGACAGCTTAGCCAACCAACGTGTTACTGAACATCTCCCATTGTGGTTTGACAAAGGACAGACAAAAACAATCCGTAGCTCAATTTTGTCACATTTAGTTAGTTGATAGTGGTCATGTAGTGGAGAAAACAAGAGCGCTTTCAAAGTAATTCATCGTATCCCATTGAATCTTCCCAGTAGACTTGGTATTCGTCTACTGCACACAGCTGAGGTAGGCGATAGGCCTTCGAACTATTAAGCCTAAACTATGCATTCAAAAGGCGTTCGTATCCACAGACATTATCCCTCCCTTGTTGGCCTATTAAGACATCCGTACATATCTTACTTGCTCTGGTCGTAAGACATCCTTTAATCTTATCACATCTCCATTAAGAAACATGTTTCATTTACTTCCCTTACAATCTAACACCACTCAATCGGTTCATTTGTTCTTATTAGCCTTTATCGACCACTACTTCCACCTGAACATTTGTTTGTTTAATCATGCTGTTCATTATTCGTGTTATCACAGATTGCCTCACTTTTTCATCCTTATTATTGATAAGACCATTTTTATTATGGCTATTATTATTATTAGTAGTAATATTATTATCATTACTACTATTATGACTAATTGCACAATTTATATTCACCATCTTATTATCCTATAGACAAAACACCATGATTGGTTTATATTTCAATGCTTATTTGTAAAGTTACGTAGGCATATTAGAGTTAAGCCTGATGAGATCTAATCGAAAGCACAATATCACTGTTCGCTTCAATGTGTTGTTGTAAATATCTGTGATTTCACATCCCTGAACTCTGATCCCGTATGTTTTATTAACCACATTAATTCAAATGCCTATGACTAATTTAATTGAATTTTAGATTTTCCCGTCGATTGATTGGACCGAAGTGCTCGGTCTCAGGTTGACATGTCGGCTTCTTAAGCAGATGCTTCGACGATGTCTGGGCATTTAATAGGTATTTAATTGGTGGATGGTGACTAGCAGTGGAATGTGACCCGTTGCACAAGAGATGGCTCTCGTGGCCCAAGTGGTCTAGTGGATAACACTTTGGCATTTGAAACTATGGGCACTGGGTTCGAGCCTCGGTGGGAACATCATCACTCACTGAGAAATGCAGGTACATCCAGATGACGAGTCCCAAATAGGACGAAACGCGCATTCTTGATTCCACTGCTAGTCAACATCCACCAATTAAATGCCTATGACTAATATTTCGTAATGTGAATCACGGAATGTACACATTCGATCATAGAAATTATTAAACAGACGGTTGCAGAGAAGAAATTTTTCTTTCCGACGAAATCACCATTGGACTAGACTGTACATTCTCGGCATTTATGTGGTAAATGGGTAAGAAAGTTCGTGAATTATTTCCGGTCAATGGATAAAAATCAATAAAATTACAAAGTGTAATAAACAGGAAGATCGGATACACAGAATATGGCAAGATAGACAGGTAGCAGTTGTACTGGTAGTCCTATTCTAGGAATATTTCAGGTCAAAGGTCAAATTAATAAAAATTACAAGGTGTAATAAAGACATAACAAGATCATAATTACTGAAAAACTTGACTTGACTGTTTGTACAAATTACGGATTAAGGACGTAGTGTGAATACGTAAAATAATATAACAAAAATAGTACGAGATGCAAATAAAATGTTTGTGATTATAATCATAGTTAAATGTCAAGTGGCAAAACAGTTAATGGCATATATACATAGAATAAGTCATAGATGTTGGAAGAGAGTGTAGAATTATAGGGTTAGTAGGCAAATCGAATAAAAATATTACGTAAAAATGGTGTGAAATTTGATAAGATGCAGTCTAACACTTCAAAAAGTTTGGATTTAGAATAACAAATGGAACAGTGAAAAGTGAGAATAGTGAGAATAGTAATAATCGTAGTAATGGGGGAAGGTACATAAATTAACTAAATAAACAAAATAATAAATTTAAGTGTTGGTTTGTAGGGGTTTGATGGGTTACAGGAATTCATCACGAGCTGACATTACTTAGAGAACTATTGGAAAACCTGTCAGGGAGTACTGGACAGCTGTTTCGTCCTAGTTTGGGACTCTTCATCAGTACGCACCCACCACGGGGATTCGAACCCAGGACCTTCTTGTTACAAGACACGCGAGTTCGTGGACCATTAAGCCACTGGGGACCGATCCAATGGCCAGTCCATGAATTCTAACTTCTGCCAATTCACGACATAGCGCGACCACTAGCTAATGTCTTCGGCGAGTATTTGTCCTCACACCCGACCTGGCAGGTTTTCCAATGGTTCTCTAACCAATATCAGTTCATGATGAAATCCTGTATCCAATCAACCAAATCCCTACAAACCAACACTTGAATATCAATGAGATGGTCACTGGCGACTGGCCCTATCCAGGGGTTCCAGTGAGAAGTGACCAGTAGGTTGCAGCAGGTTGTGTGTGAGGACAAATACTCGCCACGGAAGACATTGGCAGAAGTTACAGTTCATGGGCCATTGGATTGAGTCCCAGTGGCTTAATGGTCTACCAGCTCTCTGGCCTTGTAACCAGAAGGTCCTGAGTTCCAACCTTTGTGCGGGGTGTGTACTATTGAGGAGTCACAAACTAGGACGAAACAGCTGTCCAGAACTCTCAGATAGTTTTCCAATGGCTCTCAAACTAATGTCAGCTCATGATTAAATCCTGTAACCAAATAAATGTTTATCCCTCTACGGCCTGGGTTCGAGCCTCAGGGTGAACACTGTTACTCACTGAAGAATGCAAGTACATTCAGATGTCGAGTCCCCAAAATGAACGATCTTGGTATTCTAGATTCTTTCACTGCTAGTCATTATCCACCAAATTAATTCATGTTAAATCTTCAGACATCGTCGAAACACCTGCATAAGGAGCCGACATGTGATTAACAGGGACCGAACACTTCTGTCCAATCAATTAAGGGGAAGGTGTAGATTTCATTAAAAAAATAACAATGTTTCTAGAGTAGTCATTCAGCTAATGAGTACCACTGTAACAACAGAAGACAAAACACCGGAGCTAAGGTATATTTTTCATCAACGAAACCACTGTTTATATTATCTCACAGTTTATATTCGTTAACCAATCAATCACTGAGCGTGTGATTTCGGTTTACATCAAACAACATGAAATAGAATGTTCAAATATGCATAGTATTCTGTTGCCAATTCAGTATTATTGAACTGTGGGAAAGTATACTGTCTGTAACATCAAACAGATACATTGTATACTATTATTCTAAAACAAGATTTTGAGCGAACAATTGTTTTCGATAACTTCTTCTTCTTCAGGCTCTACAGTTAGTTATAAATCCATGAATAATAGAGTATATACAGCCAATAAAGGCAAATGAAAATAATATCGGAAAGTGTATTGGGGTGCATGTGTAAGTTGAGATGATAGTCCATTAGTTAAAACATAGTCAATCAAATGTGTATAGGGTGCATAGTCAGAAAAATGTGACGAAGTGTGAATTAACAATTGGGTGATATAGTGCTGTTTTCCATAGCTTCATACCTATACAATATAAGCGCAACCTAATTTGTTGTCTTAACCACAGGATTAGGCGCATATGTACCGACGACTGCATTGAAGATGAAATAGAAAATCTCACAAACGCCTTACTACAGAACGACTATCCCACCAAATTTGTAAAGAAGTATATCCATGAAACTACACACAAAATTAAGCGAGACACAGTAAGTAAGAAAAAGCTTTACTTAAATTTACAATTCAAAGGCGATATATTAAACCGTAGATTAACGAGAGCAGTTGAAAGAACTTTCAGTGCCGCAAAACTGCATGTCAC